CACAAGCTGTAGACGAGTTTAATTGAGATATGACTTTAGCAACAGAAGCCGAAGTGACTTGAATGTCTAACTATGGGTCAACCTGTTTGACTGGAATGGAAGGAAGCGAATGTCCATAAGATTCAAGAGTGGAATTAGAAGAAAAGTTCTTTGCAAATAGTTCTGCCTTATCCTTGGGAGAGGTAATAAAATCAGTATTATGAATGAGAGATGGAATGTTAGATCTACCCTTGTTAATAATGCTGTTGAAGATTTTCCAAAAGTCTTTAGAGCCTAACTTCTGCGATAAGATGCGAGATTTAGTGAACTGAGAATAATGGAGTTTAGCATCAGAAAGCACCTTTTTACATCGATTTCTTGCAATAATAAATAGCCGTTTGTTCTCAAGAGAGTTGTTCTTTTGAAAAAGATGAAAAAAATGATTACAATTGGATATAGCAGCCGCACAAGAAGGAGAAAACCATGGAGTAGAATGAGGCTTGACTTGAAACCGACGAGAAGGAATAAAAGCTTTCATTCCAGCCTGAATCCAGGAGGTTACGTAGGAGGCGCATTTGTCAGCTGAGAGAGAAAAAACATCAGCCCAAGGACCATCACAAAGAAAATCATGAAAGGAATCCCAGTCAGCTTTAGGGTAGTAGTAGGTGGTGCGATGATAAGGTGAGCCTAAAAAAGAAGTACGAGAAGAAAGATTTATAGAGATCATTGCGTGGTCAGAACCACCTAAGGGAGAAAAGGGAGAAACTGAACATAAGCTAGGGTCATAGACAAGACATAAGTCAAGGAGTGAAGGTAAATGATTAGGGTTGTCAGGAAAACGAGTCACAAAGTTAACTATCTGAGTAAGAGATTGAGAAACGCAGAAGTTAAAGGCTTTAGTGCCAGCAGGATCAGTGGTGTTAGAGCCAAGCCATTCAGTGTGATGGGCATTAAAATCACCAACAACAACAATATTGGCAGAGGGGTAAAGAGAGAGGGCATGGTCAATTTGATCAGAGACAACATCTAAAAGAGTGCAATCATGGGAAGAAGGAGAACGATAAAGAACAAAGAGAAAGGTGATAGAGTGAAGAGGTGCTAGGCGAAACCACATAAAAGAATGGTCAAAGGATTTGAACCTGATTTCACGACAAATAGGGGAATTAATGCATATGTATACCCCTAAACCTAGCATGTGACTATTGGAGTCTTTACGAATCAAAGGATAGTACCCATCAATACTGACATCTGAAGAAGAAGAAATCTCAATGCTTGAAAGAGTTCAACGTAGGGTTACAAAAATACCATACTCAAACCGAATGCTAAGTTATGAGAAACGGCTTAAAATGGATTTAGTTAATTTAAATCTCAGAAGAAAACGAGGAGACCTTATTCATTTATATAAGTCATCAAACAATTTAGAACTTGTCAATCTTAATGTCAAACCAGTCTATAAGTCAATCATTAAATTAGATGGCCCATTTTCTTCCATTAGAGGTCTCAAACATAAAATTAGAATGCAGTGTTTTACTCCTCGCGAAATAAATGACTTTCATGCATCGGTTAGCTCCAGAATCCATTTCTTCACAAACAGAGTTTTTTTTTTTATTTTTTTTTATTTTAATTCATCTCCTCAAGGCCGAGACGACCACTACAGACGAGGAGGCTACTTATTTGTGGCTATAACCCTCTCTCAACTCTATAACTCCGAAACACGAACCTTGACGAACAAAGCCGCTGCGCGGAGAAACGAGTTGAGTTTGCCAAATTTGGAACAAACTTCCGAAAAAAGTTGAAGATTCAGAGAATTTGAATAGTTTTAAAGCAAGACGAATGGCTTAAGAAAAATAAGAAAATATTAATTTAAAAAAAAAAAAAATAAATAAATAGTACTGGGCTGCTTTAGCTGAACGTTACAACGTATCAGCTTGTGGATAAGATCCACGCAGTTTACCACTAACTAACTAACTAACTAACTAACTATATATATATATATATATATATATATATATATATATATATATATATATATATATATATATATATATATATATATATATATATATATATATATATATATATATATATATTTATATATATATATATATATATATATATATATATATATTTATATATATATATATATATATATATATATATATATATATATATATATATATATATATATATATATACCACTAACTAACTAACTAACTATATATATATATATATATATATATATATATATATATATATATATATATATATATATATATATATATATATATATATATATATATATATATATATATATATATATATATATTTATATATATATATATATATATATATTTATATACATATATATATATATATATATATTTATATATATATATATATATATATATATATATATATATATATATATATATATATATATGTATATATATATATATATATATATATATATATACATATATATATATATATATATATATATATATATATATATATATATTTATATATATATAGATTTTAATAAAATATTAATATTTTTTATTCTTGACATGTTTTGTAGTCTTACTACATTTTAAAACTCTCATTCAATTAAAACTCAAGTAAATTGTAAATTAAATCTTTTGAAAATGTAGTAAGACTACGAAACATGTCATGAATAAAAAATATTGTGATTTTTTATTCATGACATATTTATTGATTTAGATTACATGACACATTAATTTGTAATTAATGTGTATTATGTTTAAAATAATTTTGTTCCATTTTTAGGTCGAGTTCCTTTTCTTATAGCTGACTTGATTATGGCTTACCTAAAGCCTAATAATAATGAAACAATGTTTTAATTTAAATATTTTTTAAAGTATTTTTGTTACTTTTTGTTAAATATGATAAGTTTTTTGTAAATTTTTGTAAAGTTTATATTTTTGTTTTATCTCAAGAAAAATATGTTTTTTGTTTCTTAAGTAAATATCTATATTTTTTTATTTTTGGATTTATTGTTTCAAATGGATATTGATCATTTTTGCATTGTTTTTTATATTTTTGTTGCTTTTTATATATATGAATAGAAATCATTTATACTTAAAATCATGTTTTGTACTTGAAGATTGCATTTGCATTAAGTATTGATTAGCACAAACAACATGTTTAATAACTTTGGATGTAAAAACAGCTGAATTGAATGAGTTTGTTAACAGTTTTATTTTTTACAGCAACGCTTTTATAAAAAGTATGAAACGGATAAAGCTAACTTATTTAAAATAACAAGTCTCTTAGGCCCGTTTTCTAATGTCCAAATTTGTTTTTTAAATAAATCTTGATGAGAGGGTAAAATCTTGATTATAGCTTAAGTTTTCAAAAACACCTGAAAAATGTTATGCAACTGTCTCTATTATGTTAAAGATCCTTTTATGTATAAAATATTGGAGTACATTAAGTTAATAAGTACAGTTTCTAAAGTATATTAAGTCAATTGTTAACCAAAAACTTTAAATCGACTAATTTTTTGTTGTTTACTTAAGGTATAGAGACCTAACTAAGAACAAGTTTGGAAATAGCCGGATGTGGAATAGAGTTGCCGCGACTCGTATCGTACAGGTCACCACAGCTAATTCTGCAATTAAAGCAGTATAATTGCTAATATATTTAAACAATTATATAAATTTTTTATAATTATATAATTAATTCAAGTTTTTTTACAGAAACCCAGTGGGCACCGCACCTAAAAAAGACATGTACAAGACATTTTAAACGTCTTTTTTACGTCCGTGCCCACTGGGAAGGCTTTTATATAATATATCAAACAAATAAAGCTAACTTATTTGAAATAACTAGGTCTCTTGGGTCCATTTTTTAATGTCCAAATTTGCTTTTTAAATAAATCTATATGAGAGAGTTAAAATATTATCATAGCCTAAGTTTCATGCAACTGCGTTAAATGCTAAGGATACTTTTATTATGTAGAAAATATTAAAGTAAATAAGTAATAATGTAACAAGTAAAAATACTAATTAGTTCTAAAGAACAGTAAATTAGAAATTAAGAACTCAAGGTAGTCAGTAAAATGCAAACTGTGTACTTTTTAGCGAACCAACACATCTTAATGACCACAACAGTCATGATATTAAAAACATTTACTCGTCGATTTTTTAAATTAAATATATTGGTATTCGATATATTTTATTTAAATTAGACTTTTCTTTTAAATTAATTATAATTTAATGAGCAATTAAAGTTTTTTTTTTTTAAAAAAAAGTTCGCATTTTACCATCTGGTAGATGGTAAAATGCGAACTCCAATTGTAATTGCAAATAAAATTCGTATTTTACCATCTACCAGAATTTTAAATTAATTTATTTTTTGCTGTTTACTAAATAAATTAAAGTATAAAAACTAAGGAACAAGTTTAGAAATTGTCGGGTGTGGATTAGACTTGGCGCAACCCGTATCGTATGGGTCATACCAGCTATTATATATATAAACATGACTGATATGTAAACTTTTAACATGATTCAGAGATTTGATTCTTTTGACAGTTATATATTTTATTGAGACCAAACATTTTCTTGTCAGAAAAAAGAATTCTCAAAGATTGTTTTTTCGAAAAATTATGACCAACGTAAATCAAAAAAAACTATTTTAGGTTTTAAAGCATTTTAAAGAAATCAATTTTTAGCTTTTAAAGAAATAAAGAGAATTATTGATTTGTAACAATAATAAAACAAGCAGCCAAACTGCATGTAAGGCATAATAAAAAAAAGTTAATATTAAACTAAAAAGGATAACATAAAAATATATATATAAAATGTTACATTTTTAGGATTTTAAATTTCATAGTTAAAAGTACAAAAAAAAAATTTTTAATTCAAAAAGACAAAAAAAATTAATAAATATTATTTTCACAACACTGTAACGAAGTACTTGACTTTTAAAATATTTTGTGTCACTAAACATTTCAGAAGTAAATGTTGAGTAATTTTAAATAAATCAAACATTATAATTACCTTTCTTAGAAGAAGTTCTGGTAGAACTTTCTGGTAAACTCGAAGTTTCTAAATGATTCAATTTTATTATAGACTATTTCATTTCATTTTTTTTGAGCAAACGAACACAAAAACTGGATAAAATAACAAATGTAAAAAACAATGTATAGTTCTTGTTAGCAAATCTTTTATTACTAGCAATAGCAAAATATTATTTGACAATAAAAAATTTATTTAAATAACATTAAATGACATTAACAAACAAAATTTTATTTAAATAACATTAAATGACATTTTATTAACAAACTGAATCGAAATCAAATGCAAAAATATTATTTTTTTAACAATATTTTATGTGGAAATGCTAGAAAAGTTGTAAAACTTTTATGGTTCAACAAAGTTAATTTCTTTTAAACTTTTTGCTAAAGATAATTAATATTACTTAAATAAGTGGTTTTAAACAATATAGATATGAAATCTATGAAAAAAGTACTGAGAAAATAAGAAGTTTGAAACTAAAAGTTCTTAGTAAAAACAGAACTAAATACTTAAACATAGTTTTTTTTAACAATTGAGGAACCCATTTCCAAAACGCTCTAAGTCCGCGTAAATTGATTTTGAGAAATCAAAAGAAAACTTGCCCAGGCTTAATTAGCGCTCCAAAAAAATTGTGTTTGTTAAATTTATGCTATCAAGTAAATAACTTTTCTTTTTGAAACCGCTCTTATTGCAAGTATAGATAGTGACATTATCTTGATTTAAAGATCCATTATTTTTATTTTCGATAACACAAAAGTTGTATATGTATAGTTGTTTACTATAATAAGTTTGCTGATCTGAAAGAAAAGAAAGTAAAAAATTACAACTGAGTTAAATGGTTGAGTTATGGTTGTTAAGTGAGTTATGGCGGAAATAACTAAAGTAATTTGTTTGACCATATAAGTTTTTGTAGAAAAGAGATGCAACGCTACAACTATTGGTAAGTGGTTGATTGACAGGGTTTTTAAAATCAACAGCATACTATAGATATTAAATAAATTATTCAAAAATCCCATTAAACTTAATCAATAAAACCATAAAACAACATAATCTTTTGTAAAATTTCTTGGTAATTATTTTTTTAAAATATAACTATGGTAACTATAAAGCAAAACAACAATTAACATCGAATTCCAAATAACTGATGTTCAAGGCAAAAAAAATTGACAGATTTTTTTTGAAATACTTATGAATAGTTACAATAAAAAATAAAAGTAAAATAAGACAACAAAAAAAGATGAGAATCTGGAGTAATAAAATGGCTAGTAGAATTTTATCAATTTGCATCCAACAAATCTGCAAGTAACCACTACATACGTTGGGACCATAAAACAAGAAAAATTTCAAAGAGAAAGAAAACGGTTGACAGAAGACTTGAAAAACTGATTTTTCTAAAAGTCAGGAAAAAATTAAGGTAGGAGAGAATTCGAAAGCATTGATGCGCAAGGAAAGAATCTAGATTAATAAAAAGGAAAAAAAGTTTTCAAAGAGCAGAAGACTTAAAAAACTGAAATCTGGAGTAGTAAAATGGCTAGTAGAATAAAAAATAAACGATTAGCTTAAAAAAATTGAGTCAATGTTCAACAGCCACTGAGCGCTCCATGATGTAGCAGAAGCAAGATCATTTTCAAGCTTATATTGCCCCCTGCAAGCAATCAGAGAGTGTTGAACTCTTATCAAGACAAAAATAAATGGTAATATCATCAATGAACAAAACCACCTTAGATGTGAGAATTTCTGGGAGATCATTAATGTAAATTAAAAAAAGTATAGGGCTTAAAATAAATCCTTGAGTAGCCCCTGAAGTTACAGGAAATGCAGAAAAGTGATTCAATATGAGAGATTAAGTGTTTGAAAATAAAAGATTCAAAAACCTTGCTTATAATAGGACAGTAGTTAGACAAATCAGAGCATTCTCTAGAAATTTAAAAATAGGAATAACAGATGAAGGCTTGAAAACAAGACACTGATAAGCACTTGTTAAACAGTTTTGAAAGTGTAAAAAAAAACTCAGGAGAACGCTTTTGCCAGACTATAACAGGTATGTTGTCCAGACCACAAGTTTTAGAAAAGTCTAAACAGGAAATCACTTTAGATACAGAAGCTAAAGGGATACGAACGTCAAACTTGGATTACCCTGTTAGTCAGCTGGATTACCCTGTTAGTCAGCTATATCATGTGATTAGAAGAAACAAGAAATGAGATTGGTGAAAAGTGTTAAGCAATTGTCTTAAAATGAGATAACAAGTTCAAAAAACAAAAAACCACACAAATAACCAAAACAAAATAACTTTTTTTTTTGGCAACTACGTGGCTGTTAATATCTTTTGAAAATTTTAACATTTCAAAAAAACTGAAAAAGCGCTGAAAAAACTAATCTAGATTTAACAAATAAAAAACTTTAAAAATATCTGAATTTAAACTAAGAAAAGAAATCTTTACAATAGAGTAAATAAAAAAACTAAAACACAAAAATTAAAATAACTCAAAAAACTAAAATTTTAATATTATTTAATTTAATTATTTTTTATTATGGATTTTTTTTATCATTTTCATCTTAATCAAAGTATTTTATAACAGTTTATTATAAACTAAGAACCTTAGATTGTGGGAGATGAGGGAGAGCGATATAGAACAAAGAGAAAGGTGATAGAGTGAAGTGGTGCTAAACGAGTGCAGTCTTGAGATGGAGGAGAGCGATATATGTTGCGATGTATGTATATATATATATATGTTGGCAATAGTGTTTTAATGGTGGTTTTAGTTCATGCCTAAAACTAAAAATGTCAAAATATATATATATATATATATATTTATATATATATATATATATATATATATATATATATATATATATATATATATATATATATATATATATATATATATATATATATATATATATATATATATATATATATATATATATATATATATATACACACATAGTAGAAAGTTAAACAAATAAGATAGTGGCTAGCTTTTTCTTCTACAGGTATAAACCTTGAGTAATTTCAGTCATTTTGTGATATGGTAAATAAAACCTGAAGCGCCAACAAAAGTGCGCTAATTTTAATATAAACACAATTCATTGGTTGTTAAAAAATCATAATGTCATTTGATTCGCTGTGGACTTAAGTTTTGAAGCTGTAAACCTGTTTGACTTAGCATGTTTTGAAAATGTTTAGATATGTTTAATATTTTTAGGACTTTGAGTCTTTATTTTGATTTAATATTCAAATAGTATATAAAATGGCATATAAAATGGAGAAATGTAATTAACTCGGTTTTTTTATATTTGTGACTTAGCGTATTATTATATATACTATTTTTGTGACTTAGCGTATTATTTTTATTTTGTGACTTAGCGAATTATTATTATTACTTAAATAAATTATGGTTTCGAACATATTTTTCAAAATCATAAAACTTATTTAAGTAATAATTGAAACCTAAGAAAAAGGTGTCAAGAAAATAATAACTAAATGTTCTTTGTAAAAACAGATATAAATCCCTAAATAGAGTTTTATTTAATGCTATTTTTAAATCAAATCTGTTTCAAATCAAATCTGTTTCAAATATACAAATATTGTTTAAATTAATGCTATTTTTAAATCAAATTATTTTTAAATCAAATATATAAATATAGTTTTATTTAATGGTAAATTTTTTAAATCAAAAAGAGACTGTCTTTGAGCAAAACCTCTTTAACAAGTAGACAACTTGAAAAATACCAATTTAAACGTTTAGCATATAGAAGTGCCACAAACCTTGATTTACACTTCAAATTCAAAAACATTTTTTTTATCAATTTGCATCCAACAAATCTGCAAGTAACCACTACATACGTTGCGACCATAAAACAAGAAAAATTTCAAAGAGAAAGAAAACGGTTGACAGAAGACTTAAAAAACTGATTTTTCAGTCAGGAAAAAATTAAGGTAGGAGAGAATTCGAAAGCATTGATGCGCAAGGAAAGAATCTAGATAAATAAAAAGGAAAAAAAGTTTTTAAAACATGAAGAAAAGTTTTTAAAACATGAAGAAATGAGTTTCAGTTTAAGTAGCATATTTACTTCTGAAGAAAAAAAAGTAAGAATTACAACTGTGTTGAATGGTTGAGTTATGGTTGTTAAGTGAGTTATGGTTGAAATAACTTGAGTAATTTGTTTGACCATAATAGTATTTGTAGAAAAGAGATGCAACACTACAACTATTGGTAAGTGGTTGATTGACAGGGTTTTTAAAATCAACAGCAACTGGGGAGTTTTCATTTAAATACTATAGATATTAAATAAATTATTCAAAAAAATCCTATCCCATTAATCTTAATCAGTTAAACCATAAAACAACATAATCTTTTGTGAAATTTCTTGGTAATTATTATTTTTAAATATAACTATGGTAACTATAAAGCAAAACAACAATTAACATCAAATTCCAAATAACTGATGTTCAAGGCAAAAAAAATTGAAAAATTTTTTTTTTGAAATACTTATGAATAGTTACAATAAAAACATCAATTTAAACGTTTACCAATTTAAACGCTTATTTTTTGTTTTATAGATAATTGTTAAATATCTGGAGTAGAAAAATGAGTAGAATAAAACTAAAAAAATAGCTTAAAAAAATTGAGTCAATGTTCAACAGCCACTGAGCGCTCCATGATGTAGCAGAAGCAAGATCATTTTCAAGCTTATATTGAACAATAAGCTTATAGTGAACAACACCACCTTAGATGTGAGAATTTCTGGGAGATAATTAATGTAAATTAAAAAAAGTATAGGGCCAACAATAAATCCTTGAGTAGCCCTTGCAGTTACAGGAAATGTAGAAGAATGATTCAAGATGAGAGATTAAGTGTTTGAACATAAAAGACTCAAAAGCCTTGCTTATAATAGGACAGTAGTTAGACAAATCAGGGCGTTCTCTAGAAATTTAAAAATAGGGACAACAGATGTAGGCTTGAAAACAAGACTCTGATAAGCACTTGTTAAACAATTTTAAAAGTGTAAAAAAAAACTCCGGAGA